GTCCTTTTTTTCTTCCTTCTGGCCCACTCCTTTGATTTGAGTCCCAGTTTCCTTTCCATTACTATTGGTTTCCTGTGCATTTCCCTTCATTTCAATTAGTTTAGCCTTCATATGTTCCTCTAATTTGTGACTAAAATCAACCAGTTCTGTGAGCATCCTGATAACCAGTGTTTTGAACTGTGCATCTGAAAGTTTGGCTGTTCCTTCGTCATTTAGGTTTATCAGCTCTGGGCCTCTGAGTTGTTCTTGAGCCATGTTTTTATCTGTTTGTGCCTGTTATGTATGAGGAATGGAGCCTTAGGTGTTCACCAGGGCAGGGCTACCCAGGTTGTTGGTTTGTGATGCTGTATGTGGGGGCGGGGTCAGAGAGGGGCAATAGCGGTCCCCTCTGCCACTTCTCGCTACTGGGGCCTGCATGGTCCATCTCACTGCTTGCTCCTTCACAGGCTTATCTGTGTGCAAATGTGTGACCGCGGTCAGCCCTCAGTGGGTCCGCCCATTGCTACTCCACACCTGGGATCCTTCCACGGCTGCCGGCGCACCTGGGTCGTGTGCCCAGGTCGGTCAGGTGGGTCTTTCCTGCCCGACCCTGCTCTGCTGTTGGCTCTGCCCCTCTCACTGGTTTGGCTGAAGGGCTTGTTGTTGTCAGACTTCCATATAGTTCGATTTTCTGTGGTTTGGCTGCATTTTTGTTGCTAAAACTTGGTTGTTTTTAAACTTGATTGTGCGAGAAGGTAAAATGTTCCCACCTACACCTCCATCTTGGCGGAAGTCTTGTATTCTTATTTTTTTGTCATTAATTTTTAATGGTCACACTGTACTTCACCACTTAATCTTTCTATTAATGAAATCTCCCCTTATTTGTTCATTTTTCTTTTTCTTTTTTCTTTTTGTTCACATGCAGTTGTCTCCATTTTCCCCCCACCACTCCCCTACTCCACCCCAGCCATCCCCACTTTCCGCTCTTAATCCTACCCCCCTTTGGCTGTGTCCATGTGTCCTTTATAGATGTTCCTGAAAATCCACAAGCAAATTGGGTCCTTCTGGTGCTGGTTCCCAGGTGGGTGGGCTTGTGTACATTCTAGGACCCTGTGGGTCTCTCTAATGAAATCTCCTGTGAGGCTGGGAGTCTCTCCCAGCACCTTTTCAATTGGTGCTTTATTTCTCAGTGCTGGAGCCCTGGGTTGTGCGGTCTGTCTCACTGCTCGTTTTTGCCTAGTTTATCTGCATGCGAATGTGTGACCGTGGTCAGCCCCACGTTGCCTGTGCTCCCGGGTCTGGCAGCCACCACTTTTGCCTGCCATGATCCCTCTTTGCTGGCCACCGACTCCGCCCCTCTTACTGGTCTGGTTGAATGGTTGTCGAACTCCCATACAGTTCAATTTTCTGTCTGTTCTGGTTATGTTTTTGTTTCTAAATCTTTGTTTTCCTTAATTTTGGTTGTGCAAGGAGGCACACTATTTCCATCTACGCTTCCATCTTGGATGGAAGTCAGATGGTTGTGTCTTATCTTTTTATCCTCTCTGGCACTAGGATGGAAAGGTAAGCTACAACTAACTACATTAATATGCTGCCTACAAGAAATGCACTTTAAGTCATCTACCTTTAAGGTGATCATCAATGGAGTTGGATATGAGTCTGTAATCTTGCTTTCTGTTTTGTATTTGTCCCATCTGTTCTTTGTTCTCTTTGTGTTCTTATTCTGCCTTTTTGGGATTGAGTATTGTTTATAATCCTGTTTATCAATTACCCTTTATAAAAGATATAAGTCTGTCTGCCCAGACAGACTTTATATTAACAAAAGTGGTAAGATGGAGAAAAGTATCTATGAAGAAAAGCAAAGCTGGAGAAGGCAATAGGAGTGATCTGATTTGGGTAACTGGGGAAGTTGGTGGAAGTTTTCAGTAGGATGGTCAGGAAAGGTGTTACCTGAAAATAAGATGCTTAAAAAAATACCTGAAGAACACAGAGCAAGTCATGTGTATATAGAAGAGAATTTCAGATAGAAGAACAATGGTAAAAACCCTGAGGTTTATCACCATGAATGTCCCTAGTGAGTTTAAGAAGCAGCAAGGAGGGCAGTATGACTGAAGCAGAGAGGCAGTGGAGTGCTGGATTTTGGAACACTTTGCATGAGTCTCTGAATGAGATAAAACACTGCTGCAGGGCTGTGAGCTGGAAATGATATGATCTGACTTAGGTTTTAAAAGGATTACTCTGGCTACTGCATTGAAAATAAAATATGTTGGAGAGGGGAAGCCAGAACAGAAATGGGAATCCAGTTGGGAGGTTATTATAATAATTTAACTAGAGATGATGATAACTCAGACCAGACCTGTGAGAAGTGGTTAGATTCTGAATATTTTGAATATTGACATAAAGGATTTTCTGATGAATTGCATATGGGTATGAGAAAAGGAGAGGATTCAGGAATGATTCCACAGTTTTGGCCTAGGGAAATGGGAGGATAGAATTATGTTCTGAGATGTGGAAAACTGCGGGAGTCAAATACTTATTACAGCCTTGCATGTGTGGTAGGTGGGTGCCTTGTATTGGGAAAGGCAGTTGTGCATGCAGTCTTTTCAACCTCTCTGGGCTGTGTAAGAATGGGCCTTTAGCCTGGAATGCTTTCTTGTCAAGAGATAGAGTCCTTTGTTCTGCATGACCATCTTATATTCCTTTGTTCTTCATGACCACCATATAGCACTGGCCAACCACACTGCTCTATCTATCCCCTGAGGGGGGCAGGTCCTTCTCCTATAACACATGATGGGTAATGCAGGCCAAGTGCCCTGCATGGCTGCTGAGAGGGACCTCCTGGCTACTGGGGAACTGACATCACTACTGATGCTTACCTTGCTGTATCTTCTCCATGTGAGCCCAGTGTTCTTCCACCATTCCTTGACTATGTTGTTTTCCATGGTAACTCCAGTACCAGGATGCAGTGGGCAGAAATGTTTGGACTTCTACAACTGGAGATAGGAAACAGATGCCACTTGCCAGATACTTTGTAAATATTGAATGGATGAACAAACAAATAAATGAATGGTGTAGTTTCAACCTCAAGTTAGGGGCTGTTAATTTTGAGATGACTGTTACACTTTTAAGTGGAGATATTGAGTGGGCAATTAGATGGAAGAATTTGGAGGGTGGGGAGAAGTCTGCTGAGACTCTCCTGGAAGTACTTTTACATCACTTGAAAAAAATTATAAAATAATTAAGAAGACTTGACATCTCCATAATAAGTGTTTCCACTCCACAAGAGACATACATAAGAATATTCATAACAGTATTGTTAGTACTAGACCTAAACTGGAAAACAATATTCATCAACAAAAGAATGAAAAAAAAATTATAGGATAGTCATAAAATGGTATTCTACAGTAATGAAAGTGAGTGAACTCAGAGTACTTGCAACAGCATTGATGAAGTCAGACATAAATGAATTCTTTCTGTATGATTCCCTTCATGGAAATAAAACTAAACTATAGTGTTAGAAGTCAGGGTGTGAGGTTGTCCTAGGAGAAGTGGGAGCAGGTAGTGATTGGGGTACTTTCTGGAAGGCTGGTTATAATCTGATTTTTCACTTGAGTGGTGATTATGTGTTTGCTTTATTATCACTCATTGAGCTGTACTTTTAAGTGTTGGACATTTTCAGATATATGTGATAATTCTAAAAGAAAAGTTAAACTGCCATGTAAATATATTGCCTTCCAAAGAATTTGTTGATGAATATCAACAAATAGATTCCTAGATATCTATTTTTGTGGTTTTATGTGGTCATGAAACATGTAAGATAATCCATTTAAACTACAGTGTTGTACAAATAACTGAATTTCTGATCCTGGGGAAGAGGCAGAATAACAACCATGATAGGGAATAGTGCAGGGCTTAGTATAACCCACCCTCTGGACATCTAGAATGTTATTTGATTTTTAAGTTTGGAATTTAAAGCAAATTAGAGAAAACCGAGTTGGTCTTGAGATGAAATAGGACATTAAAACTCCAAACCCCACATGTGAAACTATAAGATAGAATATTATTTATCAATAGAATACAGTAACCTTATAAAAATGTGCTTCAGTTAATGTGTTAATTATTTTAAGCTTGAGCATTAAGGTGAGTCAATCACTTCTTATTATTTGTACAGTGATGTTTATTAATGATATTAAAGCCACCTATGCAGTGTAGTGTACTAAGGCCCAAACTCCTCTTATGTATCTGTCATCATGTCCTCCTTGACATTGTGATTTAATTGCCTCAACTCCACTACGACTATAGATCAAATCTAACAAGGTAAAATATAATGGGGACAAATGCAAGGTCTTACATTTAAGTTCACATGAAGGAAGTGGAAGTGTGATTTGCCAACATAGATGATGAAGTTTCAGAAGGTTTGATTGATCTAAGATCACTCTTGAATAGGACTGCTCCCTCAAAAGCTTAATGTGATTATTGGCTGTGTTATTGCAAGTGATGGGCGATAATTAGAACATACCAAGAGTGTTATGTTCAGTTTGGGGCACCATATTTTAAGAGTGACATTGAAAATTTAAAGCACATATAAAGGAAAGACCCTGGTTTTGAGGAGTTACGAAGTAGAGATTGTGTGGCTGAAGAAACGAGGGCCCTGAAGTCTCATAGCACCCCTGTATGGTGTTGTCCCCATTTTCCAGGTAGGAGATTGAAGCTAAAAGATAACTGATGATTTATTAAAACGTAACTGAAAAATGGTTGGTCCAGGCCCCTCATCTTTTGCTTCTCAATCTAGTATTCTTCTTATTTCAAAATATTAGTTTAAGTTACATTTTTAAGAAGCTTGGAGATTGGTCACTATATAAGGATAAACTTGAAACTCCGAGGGAATGATTCCAGGTTATAAAGGAGGAAAAGGAACACTCATGGTAGGGAGATCAAAGGTAGTCTGGTTATCAGTATTATAAGTTTATTCATATTACAGAAATGTGTTGTCTTAAACATATTTTTCTCTCTCTTTTAAGGTTTTTGACTCCAATGAAGAATCTGGGCATCTCATTCTCACCATAGTTATATCAGGACATTTCTTCATTTCCCAAGGACAAACACTTCTGGTAGGTTTTATGCATATAGTTTAATATTACAAATATTTTTTATCTTCATAGCTTTATGTTAATTTTATATCCTTGACTTTCTTCACTGTTATCCATCAGGTTCAACAGATAAGCATTTGTTGGAATGTTCTATAACAGTGGGAAATAAAAAACGTACTGAATGTTTTTTCTGCCCTAAAGGGGATTAGAGTTTTATTGGGAGTCAAAATGGATCAAAGGATTGAGATTAACCAGTATTATGGAGGAATCTTAATTGGGAGATTGGGTTGAAAACAGGTGAGATTTGTAGAGAAATGTGTGGAGGGTTTTCCAGATAGGGTAAAATATAGAGGTATAGATTGAAAGAAATATGTAAAAAAAAAAAACTTGACGCATGCTATTATTAATTGGCATATACCTCAATAAAACTCTAATTTTATAAACATGCATTCGTTCTCTATACACACATTGTGAGAAATTTTTGGAATGAAGAAATATATAAAGAACAAAATAAGAATTTGGTGTGGGGGGCGAGATGGTGGTAAAGTAGGAGGATTTGTCTCACACTGCCTCCCAGCACCAAACTGAAAATAAACACAAAGAGAGGAACACACACCCAAAATAAACAACTGAAGTTGATCTGAAGAGGAGACACTTAACTAAGGTTGGCCAGAAATTACCTTCAGACAGGAAGAAAGAGCACAGACGTAAAAGAGGCCAGCACCACTTTCGTGGGCAGTGGACCAAGGTTGTGTGGTTGGGCTGTGGGAGCTTCCCTGAGAAAAGTGAAGCCTGGACCCCAGACTGGGCCCCCAAGCACAGAGTGCCAGTGCTGGGATCACCTGCCCACACAGCATCCAGTGGTGAAAGTCTGTGGAGGTTTCGCTGGCCTCAGAGAGACAGCCCACTGGATAGAGGCAGAGTCCACTGGAGACAATGCCACTTTCTTTTTTTTTTCCTTTCTTTTGTTCTAAGTGGCCAACGTATAGGTTTCACATTGGCAGCCACTCATCTTGGGCTTTGGTGAAGGAAGGGCAGCAGGGTCTGAAGTTGTGTGAGGGAAGTCTGGAGTGGAAGGTTTAGGGGAGATGTGAGGGGAATGGCTACTGGGTTCCCGGTACTAGGACACACCTCCATATTGCAGCAGCCGTTTTTCTTTCGAAGAGCAAGCTCCTCCCAGGGAAAAAGCAATTACTCTACCCTATGGGAAACTGCTCACTTCATCCTCTGGAATCCTCGTAGGCTCATGCTGTGGAATCCCTCTTACCCCACCCTCTGAAATCCTGCTCACCCCACCCTGGATCCCATCCCTCCCTTTCCCTCCCCTCCTCTCCCCTAACGCTTAACCTGCATCTTATCTGCTGCAGAGGAGACAGCAACATAGGCAGACTGAGGTGTGTTAGAGACTGGTTTTAGAACAGGGCTGCTCCACACACTTACCCAGGAACCAGACTGGCACTTCTCCCTCATAGGAGAGCCTTGGAACACCCTCCCAGTTTCCAGTGGGCCCAGATTCTGGACTCTGGAGGCCCCACCTGCTTTCCTGCTTTCCTACCAGGAGCTTCACCCTGCTGGGTTCAGGGAAATAATCTGGGACAGACTCAGACATAAAGAGAGGGGACAGAAAACTTTACTTGAACAACAATTAAAATGTTTTAAAAAGCGTGGGGACAGGGAACATACCCATCATTCCCTGAGGTCTGAACAGCACTTGCCATGGGAAATCCAGGAGTCCCATCCTCCTGATTCTGCCAGAGGTCCTCTCAGAAACCGATGGATCAGTGACTAGGCTAAGACTAATGGCAGGACTACAGGCAGAGGTATGTGGAGGTGGATACTGCAATGCCTTCAATCATTGGTTGATCTGCCCCAGGCCCCTGTACTGATAAAAGGCTGGCCTTGCAGGGCAGCAGGGCTCATCCTGGATGCAGCCAGACCCTGAGGAAACAGCCACTCAATATCAGACATTGAGTTCAAAGTAATGGTTATGAGGATGCTCAAGGAACTTAGTAGGAACTGCATTAACATGAAAAATGACATACAAACCATGAATAAGAACCATTTGGAAATGAAGACTATGCTAGAAGGAATTAAAAGCAGCCTAGATGAAACAGAGCATCAAATCAGTGATTTGAAAGACAAGGTAGGAAAAATACCCAGTCAGAGCGACAAAAAGAAAAAAAGACTTAAAAAGAATGAGTATGGTGTAAGGGAATTTTAGGGTAATGTGATACTTAACAATATCCACATCATAGGAATACCAGAAGGAGAAGAAAGTGAGCAAAGAATAGAAAACCTGTTTGAAGAAATAATGACAGAAAACTTTCCTAACCTGGTGAAGGAAAAGGTCACACAAATTCAGGAAGCACAGAGTCCCAATCATGACGAACCCAAAGAGGTCTACATAAAAACACATCATAATTTAAATAGCAAAGTTTAAAGACAGAGACTCTTTTAAGATTTAGACAGCAAGAGAGAAACAGTCAGTTACCTACGAGGAGGCTCCAATAAGGCTATCAACTGATTTCTCAACAGAAACACTTCAGCCAGAAGGAACTGGCATGAAGTATTCTAAGAAATTAAAAACAAGGATCTGCAACCAAGAATACTCAATCCAGCAAAGTTATCATTTAAAATTGAAGGACAAATAAGGAGCTTCCTAGACAAAAAAAGGTAAAGGAATACATTGCCACCAGACCAGCATTGCAAGGGATGTTAAAGGGACTGTTTTAAGAAGATGAAGTAATAGAAGGGAACATAGATATAAAGGAATAAAATGGCTATGAACAAGCACCTATCAATAGTAACCTTGAATGTGAATGGATTAAATGCTCCAATCAAAAGACATAGGGTAGCTGAATGCATAAGAAAACATGACCCATAGATATGCTGTCTACAGAAGACCCACCTCAGACAAAAGGTTTACACAGAACGAAAGTGAAAGGATAGAAAAATATAGTACATGCAAATGGAGACTAACAAAAGCTAGGGTAGTAATACTTTTATCTAACAAAATAGACATCAAAACAAAGGCCATAAAAACAAATGGAGAAAGTCAATACATAATACTGAAGGGATCAGTCCAATATGACCTTTGTGAACATATATGCACCCAATATAGGAGCACCTAAAAATATAAAGAAAATTTTGGAGGACTTTAGGAAGAGCTTGACAGCAATACAGTCAATGAAGGGGTTTTATTTTTATTTTTAAAAAGATTTTGTTTATTTATTTTTAGACAGAAGGGAAGGGAGGGAGAGAGGGAAAGAAACATCAATGTATGGTTGCCTCTCACGCATCCGCTGCTGAGGACCTGGCCTGCAACCCAGGCATCTGCCCTGACTGGGAATTGAACCAGGGACTTTTTAATTCACAGGCTGGCACTCAATCCACTGAGCCACACCAGTCAGGGCCAATACAGGTTTTTTTTTAAACCCCATTGTCAACAATGGACAGAACCCTCCAGACCAAAAATATCAACAAGGAAACAGCAATATTAAATGGCATGCTTGATTGAATGGGTTTAATTGATATTTACCGAACATTACATCCCAAAGCAACAGAATACAAATTCTTCTCAAGTGCACATGGATCATTCTAAAAAATAGAACACGCAAAGTAAGTCTTAACAAATTCAAGAAAATTGAAATCATATCAAGAATATTCTTGGATCACAGAGGCATGAAACTAGAAATCAACCTCAGTACAACCCCCCCCCCCCAAAATCATTCAAATACACAAAGGGTAAATAGGATGTTATTAAATAATGAATGCGTAATCAGTGAGATCAAGGAAGAAATTAAAAATACCTGGAAATAAATGAAAATGGGCTCACAACAACCCCAAACTTATGCAGCACACCAAAAGCAGTCGTAAGAGGGAAGTTCATAGCAGTATAGGCATGCCTCAGGAAGACAGGAAAATCTCAATCTGACCCTACACCTAAAAGAACTAGAAAAATAACAACAAACAGAGCCCAAAGGGAGTAGAAGGAAGGAATAATCAAGATCAGAGTGGAAATAAATGACATAGAGAAAAAGAAGAATATAAAGAAAGAAAAAGAAAGAAAGAGAAAAAAATAATTCAAAGTAGCAATGAATCCAGGAGCTGGTTCTTTGCAAAGATACATAAAATTGACGAACCTTTAACCAGACTCATCACATAAAATTGACGAACCTTTAACCAGACTCATCAAGAAAAGTAGACAGAGGACCCAAATTAATGAAATCAGAAATGAAAGGGAAATAATGGATACCACAGAAATACAAAGGATTGTAAGAAAATACTATGAACAATTATATGTCAATAAATAGGACAATCGGGGTGCAATGGATGAATTTCTAGAATCATACAATCTTCCAAAACTGAATCAGGAAAAAGCAGAATACCTGAATAGACTAATAACAACTAGTGAAATTGAAGTAGTAATAAAAAAAAACTCTCGAGAAACAAAAGCCCTGGACCTGATGGCTTCACAGGAGAAATTTACCAAATATTCAAAGAAGAACTAAGGCCTGTCCTTCTCAAACTATTCCAAAAGATTCAAGAAGAGGGAAGGTTACCAAGTTCTTTTTTTTTAATAATTTATTTTATTTACCAAGCTCTTTTTATGAGGCCAGTGTTATCCTAATTCCAAAACCAGGTAATAACACAACAAAGAAAGAATACCATAGGCCAATATCCCTGAAAACATTGATGCTAAAATTTTCAACAAGATATTGGCAAACGAGTGCTAACAATATATTAAAAAGATTACAGCCCTGGCTGGTGTAGCTCAGTGGATTGAGCGCAGGCCTGCGAACCAAGGGATCCTGGTTCGATTCCCAGTCAGGGCACATGCCTGGGTTGCAGGCCAGTTCCCAGCAGGGGATGCACGAGAGGCAACCATACATTGATGTTTCTCCCCCTCTCTCCTTTCCTTCCCCTCTAAAGATAAATAAATAAAAACTCTTTAAAAAAATCATACACCATGATCAAATGGGATTTATCCTGGGAGGTAAGGTTGGTACAATGTTTGGAAT